ACTGCTTGTCGCATCGACTCCCGGAGTCGATGCTTCGTCGTCACCTCTATGCCTAGCAGCGGAGCAGTGTGTTGCATCTCCCAGAGCTGACACACTGTGGTTACTTCGACGTCTCTCGTCTGAGAACGTTCTCGAATCTAATATCGAGCACGTGTCAACTCCCGGAGTCGACACGCTGTTGTCACCTCGACGCCTTACGGCGGAGAACATTCTAGAAGTGTCTGGTCTCTGACCAGGCACACGTTTACATTCAACGACTCCCGGAGTTGTTACAGCTCGCGCGCTCTTCGCGCTGAGACTGGAGACAGCGGGGGGAGCCACTGTCTCTGAAGTAGGTTTGGATGCACCGTTAGGTGTATCCGCTGCGCTAACAGGGCCATCGCTCTCTGTTGCGCCGCGGCGTCCGAAGCGTACGACCGTACGCTTCTCCCAGTCGATTGTTGGATCATGCCGTGTAAGCCACGGCATGCCCAGAACCATGTCGAACCTGTCGTCCAAGTCCAGGACGAGAAGCTCTTCTACAAACACCCGGTGTTTGTACGAGAAGCGTGCGCGAATCACGCGCTTCTCAGTTTTCACGATGGCACCCGTTGCCAATCGTACTTCCAGTTGACTTCGAGGCACACGCTTCTCCTCGAAGTCCATCAACGGCAGCCTCTGCTGTCGAACAAAGTTGTTCGACGCGCCCGAGTCCACCAACACCCGAAGAGAGTCCGCTCTCTTCGTCATCGACTTCACCTTCAAGATGACAAGGTTAGGCATGTCATCTTGCACCTTGCAGTGAGATTCCCTCTCACTGGGGGCTGCAGTCCTCAGCACCGCGTGTCCGTTGTAGACACGCGTGACTGCATTACCAGTAGGGCGCCCCGCGCCTACTGGTCCTTGCCGTGTTTTGTTTGGCCGTGACGATTCCCGGTATCGCCACGTTGACCTTGGCTCGAGTGTACTGGTGCCGTACCCTCACGTGCGTAGTGACCCATGTTACTGCACCGGAAGGATCGCACCTTGCTTCCCTTCTTCTTCTGCTGTCCGACAGCAGATGCATACGAAAGATCCATTGGTTCTGGACCTTCCGTTTTCGGGGC